CGAGCCTTATAGGGCCGGATATTTATTTTACTTACTATATTGAAGGAGTTTAGTCACTATCAGTAGGTAAGTATATCTCTAGACCATCTTTGACTCCCAGTTAATTTCAGGTATCATATTATCAGTTCAGTTTTAGATTTCAGTTATTTTATTGCCTTACATACTCGGTACATTATTTCGTACTGACGTCCCTTTTCTGGGGGCGCTGCATTTCATGCGTGCAGGTTCAGACAGACAGACGGGTAGACCTCCTCAGTAGGTGTTTCCCGAGTTCAGCCTGATCGGTAAGCTTCACGTCTTTCGGAGTTGCGAGGTCTAGAGTTTTGTATACATCTTATATATATCTGTATATATGTTTGGGGTAGGTCGGGGCCCTGTTCCGATCACAATATATCTATCAGTAGAGGCTTGTAGACATATCCTGTTGGTTAGTACAGTATGTTGGGTTTGTAGGCCTGGTATGTATAATTTGGTGGTTTGTCAGCTGTCGTAGCTATGACGGCCTTTTCGGCCTAACTTTATATTGATGTTTAGTTAGCGCTAGTTTCCATTCAGTTTTATATTTTGCTTCGCAAATTGTCTTGAAAGGTGGCCCCATGGCCAAAGTATGACATTATGTGTTCAGAGTCCCTTAGTCGCAATTTGGTACGCCAGGTTAGGTGAGGCACCGGGTGCTTGTATCGCTCCTAGGTTCGGGGCGTGACAAAGGCCAAAAAATTAATTGACCCAACGTAAAAAAAAGACAAAAAAAGTAAAATATAATTTAAAAGATACCAATAAACACGTGATATTCGATTCAAATATTTGAAGTTACACAAGTACAGAGACGAGAGTTCAAGAAAGCTCGATAAATCCGATTTTACAAAGGAACTAATTAATCCCTAATTAAATGGAGGACCCAATGCTTCTAAAATTAAGCACAAGTTCTTTGCTTGATTTACGAAATTTCAAAAGGAGATGCGGAAATGGGACAGATGGTATCAGATGGTTGCATTTAATTGGTAACTTTTTCTTAAATATTTAATTTAAAATCTTGTGTTCACATCGAGATTTTTTTTCTTTCACCAAAATTATGCGATAATATCAAGACAAAGTAGGGTACCAAAGTTCAAATAAGATACTAGTCCCATTTACCACTTACATAAAACTTACTCACGATCCTATGTTTTTAACTTATCAATTAGTATGCGTCATGCTGAAAGGAATTAAATTATTGATATGGGGTTCAATATGTTGATTGATCGACTTTGTTTATTAGATCTAACAATTTTCAGTTGTTTAATTTATATAAGATTAAGAGGAAAAAAAATTATATACCATAAATATTTGTCAAGATCTTAGTAATACATTCACAGGACGCAATATTTTAGAAAATGGAATGTCTCTTCAGGCTCTGTTAAAAACTTCCTAACGATCTTCTTATGTTAAACAATTTTTTGTAATAATGTAGCTAGCTTTAATAACTTTTGTGTTCAAAATAGCACTACTAGATCGTGTTCTGTTGCTACTATCTCTACGAGGAGTGAGGAACATTTACTTTGTGTAATATGACTATCTAGTAGTAATAAATAATATTCTTTATTTTACCAAATAAAAAACTTCCTAATAAGATACAAGATAATATATGTACATGGATATATAAATCCAAGGAGAAACAATTAGACGTTTAATTTCTTGACTGTGTATTTTCAATAACGAATGTTTAACACCCTCCTCTATTTTTTCTTTTTCTTTTTTTCCTTTTTTGTTTTTGCGTGTGTTTGTTACAAACTCTTGACAAATTGGTTATTTTATAAAGGAATCCGTTTTTTCCCTTTGGAATAAACTCCAGAAACAGAAAATAACCATGGGGTTCGTATTTGGGCTCACTGCTAAACATGGGCCTATCTTATAAATATAGGGGTTTCTACCTAGCTATACTATAATAGAAACTTACAATAATAACAACAATTCAGTAAAATCCATTAATGAAGTCTGGGGAAAGTAGTGTGTACGCAGACCTTACCCCTACCCCGAAGGAGTAGAGAGATTATTTCCGAAAGACCCTCGACTCAAAAAAACAAAAAGACAAAAGGACAAAAGATACTATAATAGAAACTTATTTACTATTTTTATTTAGATTCCTTATTAATTACTTTTTATATCTATATTTACTAGTTATATACAAAACCATAAAAAAGAAGAAACTCAAGATCTGTTAAATCTAGCCTATCAGTTACATGACACCCAACCCTCATTTCCAATAATCTCCCTACATTTAAGATTCTTTCCTTTTCCAAAGGATTACAAAAACATCTTTTCTCTTTCTTAACAATTACCCACAATTGTTCTTACCCACAGTAAGAAATCTCGCTTACCACTGTTATTTAAAATCTTGCTTACCCAAAATCTCTCTTACTCACTGTTATCCTCCAAATTTGCAGATTTTTTTCCTCTTTCAAAGCTTTTGAAATTCAATTTCTCTATTTTTTACTAATCACCCAAAATATCTATTTCTTATTGATACAATAAGTTTCTAATATAGTATAGCTAGGTAAAAATTGCATAAAGATAAACATAAAATTTCTGTAGCAAACCCGTAAATATTTCCTCTCGTACATTTTTTAAATTCTGTTTGTTTCATTTTAATAATATATAAGACGTTAAATAATTTAAAATTTTGGATTTTTTTTCAAATCATTCTAAGTATAAGAAATGGTGATCCATATGTAATTATTAACCTATAAATTTTGTTTAAAAAAATAATAATAATTAAGGAATCCATGTCCAAATTTAGACCAAAAAGTAATATGCTCGAGTCTTTTATACTGAACCTCGCAAGATGTTCAAGTCAAAGGGAGTAAATTCTTGAATATTTCACTTAAACTAATTTTTTTCAATGCCAAAAACATTTCGAAAACTAGGTCGAAGCAAACCAAAAGTCAAATCTTCTAAAACTAAAACCCCCACCTCCCCAAAAAAAGTGAATACGACTACTTGGTTTTAGTTACACTATATATACTTGATCTAGTGGACGCAAAACTTTAAATTTATAAGTTTTGCATTTTAGAAAAGACAATCTACTGAATACAGCATAAATTATTAATACATATTCAGTATACTTCTAAACACAAATAAAAAATTTTAACCAAAATTATAATTCGAATCGGTAACTAAAACATTAGCTCTGCCGCTAAGTGAAAGGTAACAAATATACTACTCTCTCTGTTTCAATTTATATGAACTCATTTGACTGGGCACGAAATTTAAAAAAAAAGAAAAAAAAAATTAATTAGTGGTATAGAATGAATTACATATATTTTATGTGATTATAAATTATTGTATAAAGATAAATTATTTTCAAATAAGAAAAGATGTCATTCTTTTTAATACGAATTAAAAATAAAATAGATTCATATAAATTGGAAGAGAGTATAAAACACTCTAAATGCGGGCAAATATACCCGAATACCATAGTCATTAAAAACAAAGGAGAGAAATCATCAAGGAAAACGGAGGACCGGCTACCCCGGTTAGGATACCCCTTCCATTTTGGAGGAGAGACAGCAACAAAAATAATACGTAAGAGATAATATATTAGTTTTTCCCAAATATAGGAGGAAGCAAAGTCCCTCACACGTCCCATCTTCTGTACTTTCTTTAAAATAAACAAACAAAATACTCTACTCTACTATTCTAACACAAACATCTGTCCCCCTTTATCTTTCTAATTTCTACAAATACAAATACACACACACAAAAATATCAATGGAATTTACACAGTCCAACATGATTCCTTCCTCTTCCTCTTCTTCTTCTTCTCTATATATAAGTACTCATTTACCCAACACAACATAAAAACTTTACAAGCACTTCTTATTTTACTTCTCTATTTCCTTTGTTCTTCTTTACAAACAAGAAATGTAAGCATCAGCTTCATTTCTATGACTGATCAGCTTCTTCTTATTGATTTTTTTCTGATCTGATATAGAACTAATAAGTGTTTTTTCCCCCTAAAGTTTTATCAAGATTTTTTTTAATAATTCTTGATAAATGTTTGAACCTATATAAAAGAAAAATATAGACTTTTTTTTCAATTGATTGAGTTGAACATAAGTTATGTAAGAACCCCATCTCTATAACTGGAAAGATTTTTGAGTATAGATATATAGTTGTGTTTTTTTAGTAAGAATTTTGTGATATACGTTGAATTTTTTTTGAGAATGATGTTGGATCTCAATCTAAGTGCAATTTACGATGAGAAAGTTCTGGAAGGTTCCGTTGTCGATGAATCGGGAACCTCCAATTCATCGGCGAGGAATGCGGAAGCTTCCAGTAGTGCCGGAGACGACGACACGTGCTCCACACGCGCCGGTGACATGTTCGCTTTCAATTTCGACTTCCTTAAAGTTGGTGGAGCTGAAACTAGCAGGAGTTGCAGCAACAATGATGATGACCAAGACGGATATGATGAGAATCGGAGGGTAACTCAGTCCGAGTTCGTGACTCGGCAGTTGTTCCCTCTCGATCGGTCCCACACCTCTAGAAAACCTGATTGGGTGGATCCGTCATTTGATCCACCCAATACTGTTAGTTTTCGAGAGGCAGAAATAGTACGTGCGCAACAGCAGTATCAACAGCACCAACAACAACAACAAGTTAAGAAGAGTAGGAGGGGGCCTAGGTCTAGAAGTTCACAGTACAGAGGTGTCACTTTTTACGGAAGAACTGGTAGATGGGAATCACACATTTGGTATGTGTCCTTTACCTAAGAAATGTTTCACTTTCTTAATTTTTGTTTAATTTATTGAAATTAAAATTAAATATTATAGTTATTATTTTTGTGCAGGGATTGTGGCAAGCAAGTTTATTTGGGTATGTACTATATAATGTTTTTATTTTAATCGCTACCTAATTGGTTGTTGATTGGTTGATCTTTTTAAGTTTAGATATGATATTTCTATTTTGGGAAATTTTCTGATTGGTTTTATTGTTGGTTCATGTTTAGGTGGATTTGACACTGCTCATGCAGCTGCTAGGTATAAAATAGAAATTTTATATTCAAGTTCATCGATAGTTTGAATGGAGAAACGGTAAAGTTGTCAACGTGTGACCTATAGGTCATTGGTTCAAACCGTAAAAGTAGCCACTAATGCTTGCATTAAGGTAGGCTGTCTAATCGCACCCTCGCACCCCTTGGGATGCGGCTCTTCCCCGGACCCTGTGTGAACGAGGGATGCCTTGTGCACCGGGCTGCTCTTTTTAAGTTCATGGATATTTTGTCAAATCATTTCAGTTTTATGTTTTTTTCCCAAGTTAAATATATGCTTGAATTGATGAAGTTTGTCTTGATACATTTTCATGGTATCAGAGCGTATGATAGAGCTGCAATTAAGTTCCGGGGTGTTGATGCTGATATAAACTTTAACCTAAGTGATTATGAGGAAGATATGAAGCAGGTTAGAAATGTAAAACATTTCCATAAGTGCTAAAACATGTTAAGTTCAAATGTTCAATATGAATTTTGCATTGTCTTGATTTTGGGTTTGATTTCCTTGTGATCTAATGTAGATGAAAAGCTTGGGTAAAGAAGAATTCGTCCATGTGCTGCGACGCCAGAGCACCGGGTTCTCGAGAGGTAGCTCGAAATACAGAGGAGTAACGTTGCACAAATGCGGAAGATGGGAGGCTCGGATGGGGCAGTTCCTTGGCAAAAAGTAAGATACTTCATTCATTGAAATTGTTGTGGAAATAGAAACTTTATTCATTGAAATTGTTCGTCGTAGTAGTCTCAATTTAGTGTTGCTTAGATCTTCCAAAAATGTCGCCATACTCGTGTCTAATCCCTCCATAAATGCATAATATCTGGAGAGTCTGATACAGGTATGGTGACGTTTTTGTAAGATCCGAGCAAGATAAGGTGTAGATTACATCTTGAGAATGTGCAGTTGGTCTGAATTGGGAAACAAAATCTGTTAAACATGCCTATTTGAAGAAGGAAACTACTAGGACTACATATTCATGGTGGGGATTACATTGCAGGTATATATATCTTGGACTATTCGACAGTGAAGTAGAAGCCGCAAGGTCCTAATGATCATGAATTTTACCCTCTCCTTGATAATGAATTTATTACCCTTAAATTCTCAACCAAAATGTTGTATCGACCAACCGGTATCTCCCTTTTTTATTTTCTGCAAATTAGGGCGTATGATAAGGCGGCTATCAAATGTAATGGAAGAGAAGCTGTTACCAACTTTGAGCCAAGTACATATGAAGGGGAAACACACTCTGATCCTCAGAGTGCAGGTCTGTTCATAAGCACTCGCTGTATTCGCAAATAATGTTACCCAATATCATGATCACTAGTTTTTCTATGTCTTTCCTGTTGCATTTATATTATGCAAATATAATGCAGGTAGCCAACAGGATCTTGATCTGAACTTAGGGATCGCGACTTCTTCTCCGAAAGAAAATGAAAGGATGGGGAGTTTCCAGTATCATCCTTATGACATGCAAGATGCAACAAAATCACAGGTACAAACAGAGTAATTATGTAGAAATGCTACAGCAGATCGAATTAAATGGAACACTTATTTCGCTAATTGAGATGGCTTTTCTGTTCTGTTCAAAACTGTGATATGGTGCGTTGTACAATAACAACAACAAGCCCAGCGTAATGTGTGTACGCAGACCTTACCCCACCTTGAAGGTAGAGAGGTTGTTTCCGATAAACCCTCGGCTGACGAAAGACGAAAAGCTAAGCAGTAGCACCAAGTAGTAACAACAATAAGATAGTAAGAAAACGAAGCGAAAGGAACTTGTAATACTAAAAAAATCTAACAATAATAGAATTCAAGACTAACACTAAAACTCTTGACTACCTACTAACCATATACCTTGATTCTCGATGTCCACATCTTCCTATCAAGGGTCATGTCCTCGATAAGCTGAAGTAACGCCGATATGATGTGTTGTGAAAATAATTAATCTTGATTTTGTTTAGATTGTACTGATAATCAGTTTTTTTGAGCTTTTAAAACACAGATGGACAAATCTTGTCCAGCAATAGTTGGTAGTTCACATTTCAAAGCACAACCGGTGACATCTGAACAAGCTCACGTGTGGAATGGAGTATACTCCAATTTCTTTCCCAGCTACGAGGTAATTTCTGCTGTTTCCCCTATTAGTTATATCAGTTGAAACTTATGGTAAAAAAAATGTGCATATGCCTTCAGTCTGCAATTCTGGATTTGCACCTTGTTTCCTACATTACAGGATTGTTTCACTGTGTATGAGAGAAATCAATACAAGTATAGGTTCTGATTCTTGTGAGCTCTATTGGAAAAAAAAGGGCAGCCCAGTGCATAAAACATCTCGTGTTCACGCAGTGTCCGATAAAGGATCGCACCCCAAGGGAGTGTTATGTAGGCAGCCTACCCTGATGCAAGCATCAGTGGCTGATTACACGGCTCGAACCCGTGACCTATAGGTCACAAGGAGACAACTTGACCTATAGAGTTCTTGTGAATTCTACTGAATTATACGTTTAAAATTCTAGTAAACATAACAGGATATGCATGTATAGTTTTTATTTGGGATATGGGCCTTTGCTTCAGGTCTTCCTTTCTTTGGTTTGTTTCCAGTTATACATATGCTGCATTGTATCTTTACGGGATCAGTGTAATTTAACTTGTTATAGCAGATTACTTATTATTTATTCTAGGTTACTAATCAATGTTCTTGCTAATTAACCAAATGGCTTAGCAGGAAAGAGCGTCGGGGAAGAGAATAGATATAGGTTCCTCTCAAGGGCGCCCAAACTGGGCATTGCAAATGCATGGTCAGGTCGGAACAACACCAATGTCAATGTTTACTGCTGCAGCATCATCAGGATTCTCAACTCCGGCTACCACTGCTTCGGCCTCTCCAATGTCTGGTCCCAACCCGAATACGAGTACTCCCAATCTTCCCTTTGCTTCATATTCCACACCATCAACAAATACCACTCAATACTATTACCAGATCAGGCCGCCGCTACCACCTCCATAACATGTTTTTTCCACCATTGCTAGTAATATAGTTAGATATCTCACTGATTCTATTTGTATGATTTGAGTGTTATCCATTCATTAACATCTTGATTCTAAATTGAGTTCTTTTACAACTTGTAAGATTTTGTAAGGTGAAGATTCAATATTTCCATTACATTTAAGTTTTCCTTGCTTATTATTGTTATCTTTGGTGTAAAAGATGCTCAATTATATCACTCAATTTACTAGGGATTGTATAGATCCATATACTATTAGGGGTCGTTTGGTACGGTGTATAAGAATAGTATTGAATAAGGTGTATTAGTAATGTTGGGATTATTTCTTATTTTTGTTTGGTTTGGTGTATTAAAAATAACATTCATTGCATGGGGTATATACATACTTATCCATATATTAAAGACCATGATATTACTAATGTCATGATTTGTTATATATTAATTATACAAGGAATTAATAATATTAAAGCTAATACATATATTATTTTTCCCTGATATATCTTACCAATCGACCCCTTACTATATGCAGAGCAAGAAAATCATTCATGTTGGGGCCCAACTCACCTAAATAACACTTGAAAATGACTTGTGTTTTGTCATTCTGTGTTTCTCTTACCACATTATTATTTCTACTTTTATCAAGCCTCATTATTTTTCTAGTTTCACATCATAGTATTTGTCAATTTATACAATTATTGAGAGTTACGTTGTCTCAGTCTACCACTAAATGCCTTTGTTTTGTTTGTTTCTTGGTGCGGATATTTCTGTAAAAACACATTCCACATGGTTGTTATTGTGAAAGGCATTAAGATAATATCTTGCAAGAGGGGTTAAATATTGGCTACACTGTTAATTGAAAATAAAAACATAAGAAGAAATTGATTAAAAAAATTAAGAGAAAAGGGCCGAATATACCCCTCTACTTTCAGATATTATCTACGTTCAATCTCTGTTATATTATCGGGCCAAATTTACCCCTACCATTATACTATCGGGTCAAATTTACCCCTACAATCAGTAAACTTTAAAAAATTACCCCTCAGTCCGTCAGGTGACCCAGAATCTCTCAAATCATTTTAATCAAGTTACTGATTCTGCTTCTTGGTCCACTATTTTTAAAATAATTGGCATTTACCTGCTATCTGAATTGCATAAAAAAAATAAGTGAAAAAAATATTAAATAATACAACCGTTAATAAACAAAGTATAGTTATTTGAAAAATCTAAATTAGGTAGTTTGTCTAAATTCTAAAAGTATTTACAACATCCCAATTTTAATGAATTCGTTGCACCAAATGTATGAGAACTTTGCAAGTATTGGTGATTGAAATTGAAGTTCCTAGGAGACTTTACATTGTCGAATTCAACTTTGCATTAATCAAATGCCTACACATTACGCACTCTTAAGTTAGTCGATCGAACTCTACACTAACCAGATAATGACAAAATATATTTGAATATAATACATGTACATACATGATGATCAACTGCATATAATTCACAATAAATAGACCCACTTAATTCTACAATGTGTATATGGTTGAAATTTTTTTAAAACCAATTTCAAACCCATTATTACAAGAAGAAAAGTGGGTGCATTGGTAATTAAAAATATTCATGAATAATTTGTATAGTCTAGTAAATTTAACATTCGCACCAATAGTAATTTTTGAAAATAGTGGAGCAAGAAGAAGAACAAGTGATTTAAATAAAAGGAATCTGGGAGATTTTGGATTACTTAACATATCAAAGGGTAATTTTTAAATGTTTGCTGATGATAGGGATAACTTTGGCCAGATAGTATAACGATAGAGGTAGATTTGGCCGGATAGTATAATGGAGGTTAAATGTAGATAATATTCGAAAATAGAAAGGTATATTTGGCCCTTTTCCCAAAATTAATTAACAAGTTTGCAACTCAAAACATTAGAAGTATACTTCACACAAAAGATAAAAATTTGTTAAATAAGTTTTATGCATTTTATTAAGGTTTAAATTTAGATCACTTATTCCATTGAACTGCCCCTATCCTACAACTTGTCATTACAGTTTCTAGAAAATAATTCACTTAAAAGTGCCCCATATGCAAAATTTCCTATAACCTAGCCAGCGACGTTTTTGACTAATATGACATTTTTTTTTGTTTCAAATTTTAACTACATATAAAGGAAGAGATTATAAGATGAAAAATTGAATCACGCCTTGTAATAGCTAATCAAGCTATTATAATTTCCATGACTAATGTGACATTATCTCATTTTACACCTAATTTTATTTTGGTCTTGTACTTTCATTTAGCTAGGTATCCAAAGCATGCATGCAAAAACAATTACGACACTTCCAAAATAGATCAATAACCAAAATTAATTTCTCCAAAAAGATAAAGAAAAAGTAAAAGAAATGGAGAGGGGGATGCCACGTTATTCTTGACGTATATTAATCATAAATATAGTACGAATGATTGAAGGGGACATCATAAATCTGTTGAATCAGTAGTCGTACCTCTCCCTTTATTTCAGCTCTTTATTTCTTTGTCTCTTGAAATACTTTTATGGTAGAAATTACAGTGTATATCCATTTGTTTTTTCTTTTCTTAATTCTATGGCCAATAATTGGCACAAGAAAATGTGTTATACTATCATCTTTTAACACATTGAGCGATCGACACTCGCTCGCAATGGAGCGATCGATACTCGCTCCGGGCGTAGTTAATCTGAATTCGCAACCCGTCATCTTTGTGCAGGAGTTGTCAAATCTTGCACAGGCAATAGAGTGATCGATGCGAGTTTTAAGAAGTGGTAAACGTAACGACAAGTCAATTCAGAAAGGTGAAGAGGCATCCTAAGGAAGTAGAGTGCGGTGAAAGAATTTCATCGTTCAGTGAAAGGGGATCAGGAACGAAGACAGAGCCCATTTGTGGTTGTTTCGGACAAAGTGTGACGAAAATGTGTGTTTAAAAAAAAGAGTAATATTTTTATATATATCGTTCTTTTAAAGAGCGCTATGCTTTAACGAAATTTTGGCCGTTAAAGTATAGCGCTCTTTATATATATATAACGCTCTTTTAAACCGCGCTATATACATAGCGCGGTATATAACCGCGCTATGCCTATTTTGTGGGCCCACCAATGAGTCTCTTNTCAAATGGGTATAGCGCTCTTTAAAAGAGCGCTATATCTAAAATAAATTCAGCCCATTGAGCTAGGCATTACCTTATTTAAAGGCGTTAGGATTTTACAAAAATCCATTCAAAAATATTCCTAACTCTCGTTCAAATTTTTCTTCTTGTTAAATTCTCAAGCATTTTTTCATAATGTCTGAAGAGCGAAAAGTAAGGGTTTCATTATATTGGGGGAGGGGGGAGGGGGGGTGAGGTTGTGGTGGCGAATAACTCTGTGAGCTATAGTTTATCTCCACAGTGTCATGTTAAGTTGCAACTTACAATGGAGTACGATAGATTGGTATCGTTGTTATGTAATAAAATGAGTGTGAGGAAACGTTCGGTGAACCTTAAAGTAACCGGAAGATATCTGTATTCCTCCACAAGGGGTTGCTTGTTACGCTGAGTTTAACATCGGCGATGATGAAACTTTGAGGGATTTTTTGAGGACTCTGAATGAATACCGGGAATTTCTTGTGATAAAAATATTGGAAATGTACGTGAAGGTCGAAGACGTTCGCAATAATGAGGTTGCGCATAGTAGGGATAACCCTCAGTCATCGGGTGGTTATTCTGGAGCAGTTTTTACCGGACAGGTTCCGGATGAAAGAGTTGCCCTGATTTAAACTTATCACCACGGGCGAATGAGGAGCGAGAAATTAATTTCTCTTCTGCTTTACATAATCTACAAGACGAGTGGTAAACTTTAATTTTTCTTAGTGTTACGATGTATATTTTTGTTGTATTGAATTTGTATTAACACTCATATATTCCACAGGTGGTACCGGTCAGATATAACTTTTACAAGTTATGAACCCACGCCTAGTTGGAATATGCGTAGTTCTGGTGTGTTGGATCATGGTGGTCCATCCGGGAGTCATCACCAACATGATAATGTCCTTCAAGGAATGTCAACACGTTACGACTTCTAAGTGAAGTGATACAGCTATATGGAAAGTATTTATTAATTTCAGCAGCTTATTATTTTGTTGTTTGTGCAGTGAAAATGAGTAAGTTGAACCACCTGTCCTCACTCAATTGCCCAAAGACGACATATTAAATCGGGATCTGGCAGATGCACAGAGTGAGGAAAAGAACTGTGATTATGACAACAATGCCGATGATTCCGGATCTCCAAAATCCTTTAGAAGCCCGTATCCCGCAGGCGCTGGACTACACGGGGATGGAGATCCCTCTCCTTCATAAAATCCCACATGTCGTCCACTCTCCTGGCGCGGAGAGTCTGGGCCAGTAACTCTCCCTCCCTTACGTAGGCAGACCTATGATCGCCCTGTAACACTAATAGCTCATCGGAGACAGATCCGGGATGCATGGACGGCACGTCTATGTCGTATACTGTAAATTAAACAACATTAATTATATGTTTGATCTGTAAATTAAATAATTATTTTTTATAATTATACAATATTTAATTAGACCAAGCTATTTAATTGGTCCGGGATCCAGGCTTGATATTTGATGCCCAGTAGGACCAAGCTATCATGAGTTCTTGTGTGTGTAAATTTTATTATTTTCGTAATTTTGTATGTTTATTTTGTAAATTAAATAATTAATTTTTATCATATTTAATTAGATAGAGTATATACCTATGGGTTCCAGGCTCGATATTTGAGACACAGTAGCACCAAGCTATCCTGAATTCTTGTGTGTGTCAATTTTGATATTTTCATAATTTTGTATGTTTATTTTGTAAATTAAATAATTAATTTTTATCATATTTAATTAGATAGAGTATATACCTATGGGTTCCAGGCTCGATATTTGAGACACAGTAGCACCAAGCTATCCTGAATTCTTGTGTGTGTCAATTTTGATATTTTCATAATTTTGTATGTTTGTTTTGTAAATTAAATAATTAATTTTTATCATATTTAATTGGACAGAGTATATATCTATGAGTTCCGGGCTCGATATTTGAGGCCCAGTAGCAACAAGCTATCATAAATTCTTGTGTGTGTCAATTTTAATATTTTCATAATTTTGTATGTTTGTTTTGTAAATTAAATA